TCCCCTGGTTGTTACTTACAAGCTTACATATTCTTTCTTTGCAGTCAGGTAAAACATACAAACAAATTATGGATTACACTTTAATTACCAGAAAAAGGGCTGGCCAAGGCTTGTAAAGGAAAACAACATTTATCACCATATATCATGATCTGTGTTATCATCATCATCATCATCATAATCATTATCATCATCACCATCAATCGCATCATTATCCTCATCATCGTCATTAGGCGTTAAAAGAAAGATGTTGTATTGCCCTTTGCGACCGACCCCGAAATCTTGAAATCTACGATCGGCTTTTATCTTTTTTAACCATTTTTTAGAGGGAAAAAAATGTTTAATGAATAAAATTAAAAAAAGAGAAATGTCAGGCCAATGAGGGGGAAATTTAAAAAAAAAATCTGACCGACTGACCCATGTTTTGGCACCTTGTAAGGGCAATACAACATCTTTTTTTGTTAAGCCTTATCAAGATCATCAGAATTATTATCATTATTATTATTACAATCAACATCATTTTCATGATCATCATAATTATTATCATGATCATCATCATTTTCATGATCATGATCACCCTAATTATTATTATGATCATCATCATCATCATCATTTTCATGATCATCGTAATTAATATCATGATCATGATCATTTTTATGATCATGATAATTAATATCATGATCATGATCATTATTGTTATCAATCATCGTCTTTATAATCATTCTCTTGATCATCATCATTATTATCATAACCATTATCATGATTATCATAACACCATCATCATTATCAGCACCAGCAAAACGTGCATCATTATCCTCGTGCTCTCCTTATCACATTCACTCAACATTATACTCAAAACACAAAAATATTCTTATATGCAACATGTCAGAGAAAAATGGTTTCTACTTTATTGACAAATGAACAGGCTTTCATTCTGCAGAAGAAACAGCATAAATACTCAAAATGTTTCATTAATTATTTCCACAAATGATGCAAGAAAATCAGTGTTGCAAAATTTGTCTCATGTATGAAATTTCAGCACAGTTTACTTCAATATACATGTACTTTATTTTATGTTACATTTTTTCCACCACCAATCATTTATGGCATGACAGAGCACCCCAACAATGCGACTAAAATAAAGGGATGTGAAGTGGTGTTTTTAGTATTTTTAAAGTATTCAACAATATTTAGTGATTTTGTTATGGTTTTGTTACCTTTTCAAAAAAAAAATACATGAATATAGTTCATACCGAATTGATAGGTCGAAAACATACCTCATGACAACTGATTGAGAATTGACACTTCATGTAGCTTGAACATGTGTATAATAAATTTCAAAATGGCAATATTCTACCTGTACCAGAAACACTCAATATTACCTTTTATGGGTGGGGGTTGGGGGGGGGGCGGTGTAATTCAAATTAATTCTTATACATACAAGTCATACAATGCATAAACAAGTACACAGAGGTTGTAATAACTTTATAACATCTGGGGGTGTTTCATAAAGATTCCAAGTCAAACTTAACTCTAAGTTGGACTTAAATATTATGGAGAGCCATTTGTAACCTTATAATGAAGTACACTGAAAGGCAAAAATTGAAGTATTTTAGACTATTCATAAATTCCACATCAAGAACATGAAATTTCCCATGATATTAGAAAATGTGAATGATTTGAATCAACATTTTATGCCTTTTAAAATAACTTCTACAAAATATTTTCAAGGATGCTAATGGCTTTTCATAATTGCTAAGTCCAACTTAGAGATAAGTTCAACTTAGGATCTTTATGAAACACCCCCCTGGTTGGATGTAGAAGGGAACTCACTGTGTAAACTATAAATATGAGTTAACGACCTTCTGGCTTCAAACGGATAAGGAATGCATGCATAAATTAATATGTACACCTCTTTAAGGATTTTGCACATAGGCTACGTTATACTTTAAATATGGCAAGAAAAAGGAAACATTTACTGTTTAATGTCATTTTATGTTCATATATATAATATATAACATGTTTTATAATATGTACAATATTTACATAGGTTTACTGCTTTGGTCTTCTATACAAAGTTAATATTCATCACTTGTAAGAAAGTACTGTTTTGTCAGCAAAATATTTAATACTTCTACGTGTAGCTATTACTTAAAGGTGTTTCCTATGATATATCATTTTCGAAAAAAAGGAAAGGAAAATTATGAAAATAAGTCTTGAGGAGTATAAATGCCCACACTAGCTATGCTTTAAAACAAATTTAACAAAAATAGGAACACAGCATGACAGAATTATATTTATATGGAATTCAGATTGAAACCCCCATTGCACCACCGGTAGTTTATCCTTAAAAAATGAGAACTCCCCCCCCCCCCCCCCCCTGCTCCTGGCCCCCAATAGCAAATTTAGGATTTTATGAACCCTGACTCCTTCCTCACTTCCCTAATCACATGGACACTGTATTCAACTGTCTGAATACTGTTAATACTGTTAATAGTACCATCATGTGCATGAATACATTTAATCCTTTGGGGAGGGTGGTGGGAGAGGAGAGTACTACAGCTGAAAGTGTGTTGGGGTTGGAAAAGAGGGTTTTAAATAAGATCAAAAGATGACAGCTATGGGATAATGGGGAGAAGAATTCTTAGAGAAGGAAGGGGTGGGGGAGGGGGGTCCTAAAGCAGAAATTGTTATAAATCAATATGACCTGGCAAATAGATACATTTCATAAGTTAACAGCATGGATGTATACAATATCATTATATCAAAGCATCAGCATATGTAGTGCTTTGCAGGCTTTTGGTTGATTTATGCCAAAATTTGAGAAAAAGGTAAATTTCCCTCTTTAAACTTGTTTACCAATAATCAAGGAGGGACAACTTTTTTTCCACTGATTTAAAATGTTGATTGTCCAATCTGCAAGGAGATAATGATCGTCTACATATTACGTATATATTTATGATTTTACATCATACAAAATGGAGTTGAACAGATTTGTAATTTAAAGTACGATGACCCTACTGATTCTGGAAGCGAGACTCCATCCAAACTTAGTGGTATCCGGCTACATGTACATGAACGTGCATGTCCATTTTGACTGATTGTCGGTCACGCCTCTCTAGATTGTGTGGTTTGGCAATGTAAATGAACGCGGAAGTGGAATGGATACAATTTAATATTGATCATATTGAAACAAGTTTGATTGAATTTTTGATGATGTAATATTGATGATTTATGGACTGGGGCAGAAATTCATTTTTTTTTTCATTAAAAATGTTGTGGGCTTTTTTTCTTTTCCAATATCTTAAACTTTAGAGAGCACATCAATCGGTAAAAACTCACTGAAATGGAGATATTATGATTGCCCTCAGGTTTTGCATCAAAATTGATATTAAATGTCAGCTCCTCTTAAAATGTGTAGCATTGATGTGTGCATGACAGCCTCTTATACAGCTGAAGAACTGTTCAGAAAGAAGGGGAAGAAAGAGAAAGAGAGAGAGAGATAAAGAGGGGACCAAGAGATACAGAAATGGAGATACATGTAAATGAAGACAACAAGAGTGAGAAAGAGAGAGCTAGAGAGAGAGAGAGAGAGAGAGATGGGAGACAATGACAAAAGACTTACAGTTAAAGAGAGAGAGACAGGAAGGGGGAAATGGAGACAGAGAGAGAGACACACACACAAACAGAGAATCAAGGATTGAGAAGGGTGGCAGAGGGGGGGGGGGGGGGGGGGGGGGATTGGATTACATACATAATGTAACATAGAGCGAAATAGACAGCAAGGGAGATAGAATAATGAATGACAGAATTACCAACATGAAACGAGAAACGGTGAGAGGTGACTCAGGAGAGAATGCAAAAAGGAGGCACATACACTGTACTTGCAGTTACATTATAAAGTAAGAAGAAAAAAAACAACATGAATTCCAATGTTTTTCATCAAATGCATAGAAGTCCATTATATGGGAATCCTATGATTCTTGGGATACTGCCAAACTTGTTTCGAAGCCATCTCATGATTCTCATCACAATGTTGATGGGACGTATGACCGCATCCCGTTCCATGTTTCTGGATCCTGCATGCGTAAATTCATACTAGGCCTGTCCTCATTAGCTCGATATTGCCAAATATCCCGCTATTTGAACTATCCCGATCGCAAATTATCCAGTTAATTTGTGTTTTCATCAGCCCGAAGTTGCAATTAGCAGGATATTTGGTCGAGATAATCATCCCAAGATATCTGGTGCTAGTTTGCAAAATATTCCGCTATTTTTTTTGTGCGTCTTCACCAGCCCGAAGACTCGCACAATGCGTGAATGCTGAGCAAAACATCTTGAGCTAATTTCCTGAGCTCGAGGCTCAAGTTTCAAGGTCAAATCTCCAGCTGATGAAGACGCGATTTGTAACTTTGGGATTATTTCCCAAATCAGAAATAGCGAGTTATTTGGCAATCTTGAGATAATGAAGACAGGCCTATTGAGATTGTTCACATACATTTACAGAGTAATCTAAATTTCACTATCAGTGCATTCTTTGTTTACAACCAGAAGCTCTGTTTAACAGTGAAGTAAAAGTGAAATAAGAATACTGATTGAACATGTATACCATACACCTTATAAAAGACCTGGTGCAAAAAAAGTAAGATTTGAATTGTGGTTCTAATCTTGTTCCCTTCTTGTGGTACTCTGGCGAGCTCCTGCTCTGTATCTTACATTCTTGATGGACATTAGAAACTATAGAAAGTATGAACGATGGGCAAGGGATCTTTCATTATTCATCATTCAGAAGGTAATGTTTTTAACCCAGCTCATGGCTCCATTGTCAAGCACATACAATGTATTTGGAGCTCTGTGAAATGACTGACCAATCGGGAGCAACTTCCGGTGACGCAGTCACCTCTCTCAACTAGCTACAGTGATAATCATCATACCCCTCTGTTTCTCCATCATCATAGACCTACTGCATCATCACAAACTTCTACAAAGTACAAGTGTGTCCAAATTGCCTGAGGTTGCAGGCTGCTTGAAAGCAAATCCTCACGATCGGAAGAAGAATGCACCGACTGTCAGGATACCTAGCGTTGCCACGCCGACAAGCTGTTTCCCACTCCAGACTCCGTTGGTGAGAGCAGAGTCATCCAGGGATGAATGAGAGAGATGCTTGTAGAAATCCACCAAGCCATCCTGGATGGGAAAGAGAAGAAAGAGAAAAATGCAAATTCATGAGGACAAATCCTAAAATAATAACCAAGCAAATAATGATATACGAGCACATGTTAGTTGTACATTTACAATTCAATTTCATCATATTTCATCATATTCCCTCTGTATTCTGTAATACCATAGGTGGTAGGTCTATGGTAATACAGACATATTTCACATTGACGAGAAAAGCACAATGAACTATTATTATACGGTCACTTTGAATTGTTATCCAGTGATAGTACAACTTTCCAGTCTTATATAATGTACATATACATGTACATATATTAATCTAAATGTAAAGTGAGCTTTAAGAATGACAGCAGACCCCCCCCCCCCTCCCTCCACTTTGAATACAAAAACAAAAATAAAAACAAGCACATCTACATGTACATGTATGTACACTGTAGTATGTAGGAATTTGATTTTAAAAAGACTTCATTATATTTTCAGTTTTGTTGTTATCATATTTCCATTAATATCACCACCAGCGTTACTCACTGTAGACATCAACATCAACTTGTAAGATCAATAAACATGCCTTAAGGGGTCAGATTCTATCACTATCAAGTTCAATAGTACAGCTCAGATATTTGTTCATTCTTTAATTCTTTCCTTGAAGATCTTTACACTATCCCTGCAAGTCATGAATCTTATTAGTCATCCAGACCAGACCACTGCTGACCTGTCCAATTTCAAAGAAAGAAAAGAATATGGGGTCCCCAGGTCTCACTCTATGTGTCAGTCGGGGAGGCAGGCGAGGGCACTCTTTTCTTCTCCTTATGAATCATCTAAATTATCATAGAATGCCTGGGTTTGGTTACTTGGAAAGCACTGATCATCTATTTTTCATTTTCATCCACTTGTGCAATCATGTATGACATACAGTAATAAAGATAAAAGTAGGGAGTGTATTAAAGTAAGTAAATAGGATGCTGACATTTGTCCATTCTACTACTTGATGTACATGTAAGGATGTCTGATTTAATTTCTAGTTTTGGCAAGGTCGGTGTACTTTCTCTCACTATTTATCAACAACATGAGTCATTACATGAGAAATATGCACAAGAGCTTTTTGTATATTGTATGTAAATGTATGTATTGTAAAGTGTATACTCTTTTGTTACTTCCGTTTCTGAACACGCAAAGCGTGACATCTTTCTTGAAGCCACAATTTTAGAGCGACCAAAAGAACTACCGTCATTTGAAACGATATCCATTTATTTCCTAAAGCATTTAATGAAATTGAAATTAGGTTTGTGAATTGAAAATCTTAATTCTTAAGTTCTTTAAAGTAGATATTCATTGATTAAAAAAACTAACTTTATTTCATTGTTGCAAAGTTGAAACTTTGATTCGACATGGTTATCAAAATTAAATGCTTGGAAACATTCAAAGTAATGATTATTATAAATTACAAAACGCTTAAATACAGCCACGGCATAGCACCTGAAGAGCTCTCCAAACGCTGCTGAGATGTGTGAGATCACAGTATGGACATGACTTGCACAAGCAGACGATGTCCCATGACATCCCACACATTTTCAATGCCTGTGCTTTCATCTTCTCTTGAGTTCTTTCTATTACTTCACTACCATCGGGCTAAATGTATAATCTATTTCCTCACTCTAAACCCCGCGCATGATTTATTTTGATGATAAATGCAGCGATACAAAAATAAAGGAATCTGTCGCTTGTAAACAAAGTAAGACGCCATTGTATATTCAGCAGCACACACCGGGGTATGTTCGGCATTTCAAGGGGGAACAAATGCCGTCCTTAATATCATTCCAGGGGTTTTTCAATTTGAAAGATTGGTTTCTTTGATTGTTAATTAACCCCTATCCTTTGTATTTACAAGCAAAAGATTTTAGTTATCAGAATCGGGTCATATCCCCTTTTGAATGGTTTGACATGCCATTACATTTATATACACAAAACTTGTTATAATTTGAGAAATAATAGCTTTGCAATTATGTTTATTCTCTATGGGATGTCGTCTGCTTGGGCAGTGTTGGTCCATATAGTTACGTCATTAAAACATCGTTATTTTTCCGGCGAATCTCTCGTATATCCCAGCTGCTATGGAGGTGGTTGTATTTGTATTTTTATAAATCACCCAATATGTAGTTGACCTAAAACTTGTCCGATGGCCAGCTGTTAGCTTACCAGTTTCTAGTGACACATTAGTTGACATATTTGTGATCTCCTTTGAATTTCACCTTTAAGCAAAAGTATCAGTGTGAAATTTAATTTTGAAATACCCAAAATTGAATATTTAAACCCAGGTTTCGGCGTGACAATCAGGGACTGGACGGGGAACTGTTTCAACTCAAGCCTAATGCTAATATTGCCTAATTATAATTTTCTATGTAAAACTTTGGAAGTTGTAAATAAAACCATACAGTACATAACATTTCTTCTCATCCTATTAAACCCTTAACCTAAAAACGAAGGAATTTCCAATCCAAGCCCTAACCACATATTTTTTTTAATGAAATAGTCTAGAGCAAATATCAATAATGACATCAGAATGCACTGGTTGCCATCATAACCTTTATACAACATGTGTATTTTGTGTACTGTACAATACATGTACGTACATGTAAATTATGTAATCCACGAAACAAATGTTTAAATGTAAAATGTAGTACCTTGTATACACTTATATTCCAATTCCCCCCCCCCCCCCCCCCCCTGTTTCCAGCAAATGCAGAAGTCAAAAAACAAAAAACAAACAAACAAACATAAAACATATATTTAAAGAAAAAAATACTTGATCCCCCTTTAATGTCAAATAGTCAATGTAAGAATTTTACTGAAACATTCCACTATTTCTGATACCCATATTTCATTAAAACAAACAAGCAAATTATTTCCTCTACTTCAATCAAGGTCATTTTCATCTGAAAATCAAATTATTCATCATCATTCTATCTTCTCTTATTTTTACTTTTCAAGCAACACTTACTTCCGGCCCCTACAGGCAACCACCTTCCTCATCATATGATTCATATCCCATGACTATTTCACTTTGAAAAGTTTCCAAAAATGTTCATAAATCCGTGAAATGGAATTTTTTTTGGCACAAAATACAACTCTGTGGAAAATCCTGTTAAGGAATTACCTAAAATCTTTTTTTTTTTTAATTTAAAAATCACTTTCAGTTTTGTGAAATCACAAAATGTTTGATTTACAGTATATACTGTAATTAAGACATACAGAGTAAAGACATACATGTATACAGGTCAAGATGAAAATATAGATGAAAACTATTATATAATGTTTTTTCTTCATTATGAATGCAAATGGGCAGGTCCAAGCTATTTGGATTGTGACGTACATGTACGGGACATTCAGAGACTTTAAACAAGAAATAACAACAGATGAAATTATTTATATGGCTATCTTTTAGTATGAGTCTGTGGCTATTATGGGCTAGTTCATTTGTGGAAAGTTTTAGTTCTGACCAACTCTTTAATTAATTTTTAATGTAATTAATGTGCTGCATGACGTATGGGACGCTGCAAACCGTACGTCATGCTGCACATTAATTACATTAAAAATTAATTAAAGAGTTGGTCAGAACTAAAACTTTCCACAAATGAACTAGCCCATAATAGCCACAGACTCATACCAAAAGATAGCCATATACACTGTAAATAATTTCATCTGTTGTTATTTCTTGTTTAAAGTCTCTAAATGTCCCGTACGTCACAATCCAAATAGCTTGGACCTGCCCAAATACAGTTGTGGGAAATGTTGTTTTCGTATGGTTTTTTATTCCATTGAAGAAAAAAAATCTGATGATTAATGAGGTAACCTTTTTTTTACCTTTTTAGTACAGTGGTAATCAATTAGGGAAAATACCTTGAAATTAAAACAAATCACAGTTACTAACCAAATTTGACCAAATAAAACAATGTATATTTGATTTGAAAAGTGACCCCAATAAATGCATACAAATTTGTAGGAAGTATTCAATTAATCACATCATTAAACATATTTCAAATTCCACATTATAAATAGACCATAACACCATTTTCTCACGGCCTTCATAATTTATGCTGCCTGCAACCTACATGTACAGTATGTAACCAAATATAAAAATACCACACCTCCACCTATAATGAAATTAGTCTACATTTACAGACACTACATTGTAAATATACACTATAATTGTACTCTTTATATGGACCAGTATACATGTAGTAATTTTTTTTTAAATAAATAAAATGTATTACATTTCAGTATAATTTGCAGATTTCTGATTAGAAGCATCTAATCTGTATGTACAGTACTATGATCTACATGCACATCTATAGTACATGTATATGTATGTATCATACAGTATGTGTACATTTACCGTTACATGAAACTTTGTAGGCCTACAGTACTGATGGAAGTGGCTAGACTACACTTTTTACACCGTTGCTTTTCAAGCTACCTGTACATGTACATGTCTACAGTTGTATGTACTATACATGTAAAGTAGGGCCTACATACAGTGAGCTGAACACATGTACATGTACGATTGTACGTACACATGTACATGAGACTGGCACAACAAGCTTAGCAGTTTTAGTGAATACAGTATTACCTCAGTCTGGAATCAAATCTTCTTTGGTGATGAATACACTTTGTTTATTAAAATTCACATAGCAAATGACTACATTACAAGTTCTGAAGAGTAAAGAGCCTCATAACAACAATTGCTGATACAATCTCAACTACAGTACTGCTTCTTTTTATACATGTACATGTGTGGCAAGTATGACTCTGTACTTGTCATGTCTGACGGATAAAGACTATCGCAACCTTGCCAAACTGCATACTTGACCTCTGTGGTGGATAGGGTCAAAGCCAAGAATGCTTCCCTATACAGAGCTCCAAACCGCAAGCTATGTCACTAGACCAGACCTGCAAATGTAATATTTCCAGCTCACAGTTCGATGCCCTCAACTCTTTGCTCTCATGATGACGTCAAGGATTTTGCTGACCTATTTAACAACTGCGGGCTGACCTACCCACATTTATCCCCCTCTGTTTCTATTGCGGTATTGTGTCTGAATGGATAGATTGGAAAGGCAGGAACTAATAATGTATACTTTCGCACATAATAAAAGGATATTTGTACAGTTCATAAATGTATGTGTATATTTCTGGCAGCCTAGTATTAGTAGTGTGATCTGTACACTGCATTTTATATTAACAGTGTTTAACCATACTTCGTAGTACATGTAGGTCCATGTTTTAACATCCATCCCTCTCCTGTAAGTGTAATCTGTATGCAGAGCTGCACACTGGTGGTTTAGTGTAAAATGAATGATACATTACATGTACATGATGCATTTATGTACTTAAAAAAACAAGTTTTTACCTCATATCATCTCGTAGGATGAAGCACAACCGACCACCATGAAGAAATGATCTGAATGATATTATGTAAATTTTATTTTTCAACTATTCTGAAACGTTACTTATTAAGCGCTTACAGCATGTAGAAATCATCAATGATCTCTCAATTTTCATGAAATAATCAATGTACATTTATGATAACCTACTGACTACTGGTTTCTGTTATTCCCAAGGACTTTTACATGTACATGTTTTAAAGGAACCACACAGATCCATCTAAGGGACAATGACACAATGGGTTTAGTCCCATGCATAGAATGAAGAATCTCATTATGTTTGATCAAGAGTTGCTATTTGATCGTAAATACATTCACTCTTTGAGCAAGTTGTACAATTCTCTGGTGCACAAGTCTCTGGAGTAACTACAAAGTACATGTACCAGTGTATATAATGCACATGATTGTACACGTAGTCAAACCTGTCTATTGAGGCCACACAAGGGAAACACAAAAAGTGACCACTGTACATACATGTACATGTAGACAGGTGATTGTCCAATAGTCCAGATACAATTTAAATTCTATTAACCACCCAAGATAATTGACCAGGCAATATTTTTGTGTTTGGGGTAAATCTGTTCAAAAGACACTGCAGATTTGTAAATGACTACATGTAGATGTCCTGTTTGATTAAAGTCAGTATAAGCTTGTGAGTACTGGTAGTGGTACATGAATTTTCTATTCATATTGGGCAATATATATTAAAGCATAGTCCCTCCTAGACCGAAAGCTTCAGTCTCTGATATCAATGGTTGTTGCGCTGAGATTGCATCTGGCTCCTCTGACGGTGACCGCATATGGGGAATGTCAACAAATGTCAGTTTTATTAAAGAAATGACCCATATCAGACGGTTATTTCTGTCTTTAATCCCTCCCTACAACTGTAAAGTGATAGGACTCAACTAAAAAAATACACTAAACAGTAAACACACTCTCTCTTGAACACTAACGTTCTAAGCCAATGATATCCCACTTGAGGATCAGGACAAGGTACACATGTACAGAACAGATTCAGACTTCAGAGACAGATTCAGAATGTTCCCTCGCTCGCTTTAGCAAAGCGTGACATCGAGATCCATTTTCAATCACTGAATGATTACTACATGTCCATTTACATGTTAACAAAGGTATTGTAGACTAATCACTTCATCAAAAGTTGTATATGTGTCCAGTTATCAAATACATGTAGTATCAATTTAATTGTACATTAGTTATCCAATTTTGTCATGAATAATCAAAAGTAAGTAAACACCTAAAGATCAAGAGTTAGATCTCCAGTGTACTGGTATGTAAAACCGGATCCATATTCCTTTTGTTTCTTTTTCTTTTTTTCTTCTTTTCTTTTTCTTGATTGAAACCAAATTAAAAACCAAACATGTTGTGCTGCTTGGTCTACTTGGTACGGTTGATCAGACACCCAAGAGAGGATAAGGTTGGGGAGGATAAGGTTGGGGAGCCTCAGAAGAAGAAGTACCCCCGGTAGTAGTAGAAGAAGAAGTGGTAGAAGAAAAAGAAAGAAAGAAGAGAAGAAAAGAAGGAGAAGAAGGGGGAAAAGGGGGAGGAGAAGAACCTTCAAGATTGAATGAAGCAGACTACATCAAAGAAGAAGAAGAACACAAAGGAGGGGGGAAAGAAGAAAAAGGATAGAACTTAGATTAGAAGGAGGAGGAGGAGGAGGGGAGGAGGGGAGGAGGGGAGGAGGGGAGGAGGGGAGGAGGAGGAGGAGGAGGAGGAGGGGGAGGAGGAGGGGGAGGAGGAGGGGGAGGAGGAGGAGGAGGAGGAGGGGGAGGAGGAGGGGAGGAGGAGGGGGAGGAGGAGGGGGGAGGAGGAGGAGGAAGAGGAGGGGGAGGAGGAGTGGGAGGAGGAGGGGGAGGAGGAGGAGGAGGAGGAGGAAGAGGTGTGATGTTTGTGAGTGCATTGTCCATGAACCAAAATGATCTTATGAATATGATGATATAGCCTAACTTGTAAGTTTAGGCCATGCATGAATAGCAATTAAATAAATACTCAGTACTAATGTTAGAATAGTAAAGGGTGCTATTTCAGAATCATATCCATAATCTGAACTGAACTCCGGCGTGGAGATACCCTACTAAAACATACAAAAAATCAACATCAACTGTTCAAATAATGGTCATGATTTACAAGTCGTTATGTTTCTTAAGACCCGTTTAGTTTCGTGTCAATTTGCAATTGTATTGTGCAGCAGTTTGCCATGAATCCCGTGAGAAAGTGTAGACCTATGTAATAAGTCTTTGTTTTGGGAAAATATACTCCAAAAAAGATAAGAAAATTGACACAAAACAGGTGAGAAACACAACAACTTTTAGATTAAATCATGACCAGTTCTTAACAATTGATGAAGATTTAGATGATTTTTTTTGGTTGTATTTTTGGTATCTCCACGCCAGAGTTACGGATCAAATTATGGATATGATTCTGAATAAGTGCCTAGTAAAGCTTTATTTCATTACCCATCCGCCATTCGCATGAATCCATGTGATGAGATGAGAATTGATGTAGGCGACCATCAGCTCTTCAACCGTGGGGAACGCCCGGGGGATGTCCTTCTCTTGACACCACTCGCACAGGGCTCCTCCGAAAGAGAAAAATGCTACAATTCGTCCCCAAGAAATAACACCATCTACAAAAAGCTCACTTGTAACGGCCTTAAATGTCGAACTGATAGTATTTTCAGTAATTTTCAGTTGATTTGGCATATCACTGAAAGAATCTCTGTAGTCATTCATGAGTTTTTCGGAGAGATTTACGATGGCTTCATGAAGATCCTCTGGAACATTTTCGACTGATGACATGATGGTTGACAAGCAATCATTTTCCTCTGCATCAACACCATTTCCCAAACATTGCAGTCTGTAACGTAGATAATCTGCAACTATGCTTGCTGTGCTGATATCTGGCATCTTGTAAAATCTTCTTATTCAGTTAGAAATATACCAAAACAGGTCACAAATTTTTATTTTTATTTTGATCAGGTATCAGCCTCAAGATCTGCACAATGCACATTAACCTATAACGTACGTACGTACGCGCGCAGAGATAAACTCACATGTAAATCGAACGGTAATTCCCCGTTATACTCGAACGCATTCGCTTGCGTACGAGTACGCAGTTATGAATGAAGGATTCTTCAACTTTACAAAGGATTTATTTCATTTTGTTGCGTTTGCATAGATATTTATTTTATTTTATTGGTTACTATCAAAAAGCATGAATATAATTTTTATACTAAAATAAAAGAAATTTCAGTTTAATAATATATTTCTTCACCAATTATTTAACCATTTACTTTTGTACTTAAAAGTAAGTTTACCCCTTACAAAATGCACTCGTCTATTTACGGAAACTCATCGTAGCTTGACGTCACATGTACATGTGTCCAAGATCAAATAATCCACCGCTCACATGCGTTTGTCGATTTCTTGGAAAATGTATTGCATAACCTGCACGACTGTACCTGTAACTTTCCAGAGAGGAAATGAAAGTGGTCCCGTCCCGATGACGCAATACATGTATTTCTATTTTTACCAAACTTTGGAATTAAGTAGCCCAAAGTAGGCTCGCAGTATACATTTTAGTTCAGGTTGAGTTTACGTCACAATCGGGTGGGGGTAAATTATGCTCCCACTTTTTCAAGTAGGCCTATATACACAAACGTAGCTCAGGGTTTTTACTTTTTATAGGCATTAAATAACGGTCAGATGATCGGATCCGGGGACAACTCGGCCCAGCTGCAAAACGGTCATTTTTTGTCATTTTACCCTAACTCTAACCCTAACTCTAACCCTAACCCAGCCCTAACCCTAACCCTAACCCTAACCCTAACCTTAAACCTAACCCTAAACCTAAACATGCAAAAAAATGACCGTTTTTACAGCTGGGCCGAGTTGTCCCCTGGTCCGAGTTAGCCCGACTCCAGATGATCCAGTCATCCAGGGGCCCTCTTTAGGGCCCTTGGTGGGGTCCGGAAGCTCAGAGGTTTTAGGTTTTTAATTCAGTCAGATGAGCATCGAGGGGCCCGCCTTAGGGCCCTTGGTGAGGTCCAGGTGGTAGAGCCCCGGAAGCTCAGGGGTTTTAGGTATTTAATTACGGTCGGATGAGCATATTTTTATATCTCATTTGTACGTGACATCACTCATTTTTTCTCTCTCTCTCTTTCTTTCTTTTTCTCTTTAACATACTTTTCAAAAAAGTGAGGGGGCAGGCTCGAGCCCCCAAGCCCCGACGTTCTGCAGGCCCTGACATGAAGGCTTCTAAATATAAGTAGGCCTATATTTTTTCGCCCGACTGTAAATTTGGGAATTTGTAATTTTCCAACAAACGCATAAAAAGGTACGATTTACACAAAAAAATGAGAAAAAATGCCGGAAAATCATGTCAATTCAGCAACATTTGTAAATCACTGATGGTATCAAATTAGAAATACCCCCCCCCCCCCATTAGTACGCCGGTGTTCAAGGGCTCATGTCTAATTCTCACCCCTATAATAATACAAAAAACACACCTACACGCTTTTCCATCCTCTCACAATATTTCCACGATATGCGCGTATCGCTATTATAAAAACCTCCATTGATAAGGCATGCGGAATGTATAGTAAATTTAATTAACTTCCTTTTCTTTGAATAGAATTTAATTTGTATGTGATTCAATTCAGGTTTTATCATTTGTATGTTCTTTTTGGTTAAAAAATAGAAACCATCTTTACTCCTTTACTGCGTTTTTGGGGGAGGGGGGTAATGCGCGGCCCCACACTTTTTGGGTTGGGGCGAGCGCCCCCCCCCCCCCCCCCATTCCGGCGCCCTTTCCACATTTCCTTTTTAACTATCCTCTACACTTTATCCCCCTCCAATCCTGTATCCTTTGAGCCTTGATTTCTCATGGTGTATTATAGTTTGGATGCCACACGTGCTCTCTCCATTCCTTTGCCCTTTACTATTCTAACATTAGTACTGAGTATTTATTCAAATCGAAGAAAGAAGAAAGAAGAAAAACAGAAAATAGACAGACGTGATTGAGATTTTAGGCAGAGATAGAATTAAAATAGATAGACTGCAAAGAGAGAGAGACAGACAGACAGACATACATGAGAGAAAGAGAGAGGGGGAAGGAACATTATTGACAAAGGTGCTACTACCCCCGTACTACCCCCTCTCACCCCATCCTTCAGTGACCTTGATATTTTGAATTTCATCTTTCAAGTATTAAAGACCAGATGCCCCTTTAACTACGGACGCCACTGTTTATCATCAGTATCGTGCTTTCTCTCTCCTTTCTACTTCCTTCCCTATTTCTCGCTTTTATCTATCACAAGCTTCTCTGTCACTTTCTCACTTCCTTTCCTTCACTTCATTTTCTCCCTAGACTCCTTTTCCCCTCTCTATCCTATTGCATCTCTCATAATTCTTTCAACAACGACTCTCTTTACCTTCTCTCTAAACCAATGTCACGTGTTCTCTTTCCCTTCTTTGTCAGGCAAATTCTCTTGCCCTTCTTCTATTTGTTCTTGATCACCGATTTCTCTACACCTCTCTAGTTCCACTCCTTCTCCTTTCCTTTCCCAGTCTATTTATCCCCTTTTTTCTTGCCCCTCTTTTTTTATCTAAAATCTCCCATCTTTTCCCCCGAGTCGTCCTATTCGTTGTTTAATCTTTCATTTTCATTGCTCTCGACATTACCCTTTACTGCTATTAAGTCACTTTATCTCTCTCTTACTTTTCCCCCTTATTCTCTTTCTCTCACTCTTTCCCATCTTTATCCCTCTCCTTCTAATTGATTCCTCTTCTATCCCTCCAAAATTTCTTACACTCTTTATTTGTTTGTCCCTTTGTCTTTTGGTTTCGCCTTGTTACCTTTTCCCCTCCCCTCCCCTTGTCACAATGCCCCCTCCCCTCCTATTTTATAAGAATACAATCAAACCTGTTTTATTGGCCACCTCTTTAAAGGCCACCTGTCTATCGTGGCCATGTAATTTGTCTCCCTCAAGATGAAAATGTGTTATAAAACCTGTCTATAGGGGCAATTTTTTTCTTTTCCCCTCGGGCGACTCCCCCCCCCCCCCCCCCCCCCCCCCTCTCTCTCTCTCTCTCTCTCTCTCTCTCTCTCTCTCTCTCTCTATTTTGCACAATCCTGGATCTGCCCCATTAACTTGTTATTATAAACATTGACCATTAATGACCACCCCAGAGAGTTAACTTCAAGGACCACATTCCAAGAACCATGACTCATAGGCCCAACCCAATTCACTGACACTCTCCATTACCACTACCCGTAATACCATAGCAACTCTAATAGACAGTTGACCATAGACCAATCAAAAGCATATTTAAGTCACCCATCCAACATTGTTTCACTCCCCAAAACTTTCCTGATTGTAAAGTTTTCCAATCGAAAGGGACTTGAATTCCAACCATCAATCGGCGAATACATACTACTTGTAATCTCCAGTCTATACAATGTAATGGTCCTGAGAGTTGCTGAACTCTGCCAAATAAAACATCTATGTTGAACTGTGAAGAGAACTTGCATTCAGTTTCTTCATTTAAAGTCTCATCATCTAAAAACTGATCCCCAAACACAACAATATCACAAGATCTAACAAAAACTGCTCTGAATGAACTACATGAATGCTGCATTTTATTTGCAAATTTTCAAATGCCAATAATCTTTAGATATAATGTAGTTGAGTACATGTTTTTATTTTATCACTTTGATGCTCCTTACATTTCAAAGTATTTTCCTGTTGTGAACATAAATTGACATTGAATGCATCATCGTATTTCCCACATGCATTAGGTCGGGTCCAAGTATTAACCACTCGACTGCGAACCAAGTACATGTACGTGTTCTCGCCCTCGCATGCCTGTGCACACCATGTACATGCTTAGTGCATTGTACTTTCAAGACCGTAGCACTTCATAAGACCGTAGCACTGCATAAGGCCTAGCCCTACTGTGTAATTAGCACTGCAATGACGTTATACAGGTCTTGGACAGTAGCTGGCGCTCTTTTAAAAAAAATATCCGGCAGGGATGTTTCAGTCCCATTAATGGATGTCATAGCGAGTAGCACGTACAGTAGCACAGGGGGTGGGAACGCTTATTAAGCCAATAGCAGCCAAGTGGTTAAAAGCTATCAATTTAATACAATCATCATACATGTATATACTAAAATCTAAGATGTGGTTAGTAACATATGGGACAAAATGGCTTAGAAGTTGCCCACAAGTGTGTCAGAAAATGCTGATCACATACATTTCATTTAAAAATTCAGCACATTCAATGGAATGTCAGTCACAAACAAACATTGACAAGTTCTGCCAGCTTGATGCATCAAGAAACATTTTTTTCTTCTTTACAAAAAAGATGTTTGTGCATCATATATTATTTTCTCACAATAGTCATTCGATGTTCTTTCCCCTGAATTCAAACATAATTCAGTTTTGTGTAATTTTATGTAAACAATAAATTTGAATGGAAGATCAAATGTAATCAAAGTTTACATTGTCATACTTCTTATAAACATTGTACAACTTGTTCTTCACGTTATTTCGGCTCATTATCTTTCGCTTTATTCTACTGACAATTTCTGAGCCTGACTGCAGCTAGGTTCTAACAAGAAAACCCAGGCACATCTTAGAAAAATGAATCCATCATCAACCTGGTCTTGGGCATAGTTGCTTCGATTTCCTCAGTCCATCCTCCACTCTCCCTCTACTATTCCTTTCCTTCCTTCCCTCTGGTCCTATTTCCATCACTGATGTATCTCAAATCAACTTCTCTAGTTCCGCCACTGCATTTCTTTGTTTTCCATATTGTTCCGATCCTTCCCTCCTTCTTTCATCCTCTATCCATCATTGGAGCTTTGTATCATGTACAACTGCTTTTAAAATGCCATCATCGCATTTCTTCATCCTCCCTGTTCTCTTTCTTTTCTTCCTTCCCTCCATCCTTAGTCCTGTCTCCACCACTGCCTTGCTTTTCACCGGGAGTTCTTCCTTTATCTTTCTGATCTCCCCTCTTCTTTTGCCTCTTCCTTTGAGCCATGCTACCCTGACCTTCCCTGTCCTGTCTTTGATTGACAGAACGAGCCGACCGTGATTGTCCATCTCCGCCTCTTCCAACCTGCTGTCGTTGCTGGTTCTTCTTTCTCTTGTCTTGCCTTGCCTCATCTCTTCTTCGTGTCTCAAAGGAGCCTGGTGCTTGGTAACTTGAGAAAAGAAAGGAGAATGTTGATATATAAAAGAGATTAACAAACTGAGAGAACTCAAGGTGTGTAGACCAAGGACAATGGGTGAAAATTAATTATTTCATTCTAAATCAAGTTAGATGTAATAGATTTAACTAGCATTTTTTTTTTAAAATGTATAGCAACAGCAATAGCTCCATAATCCCAATAATCTATAGTTAGTTTTATTTTCATTCTATTCACTGTCATTTTTCTTATTTATTAAAACATATTCAGGATAATAAGGATCAGCTATAAACATGAAACACGGTTTATATCATGTTTCTGTCAAAGTAAGATGAAAAATATGAACAGTTTGTTTGTTTGTTTGATTGATTTTATTTCTGCGTTCAAAAATATACAAATTCAAATTCAAAGTACAAAATTTCGAACAATAACAAATACAATGAATACAATGTTTACAAAAGTAATTAAATGAAAAATCATGTTCAATTATATCATTCGATAAACATGTACGAAGCATACAATAACATAAGAAATATGAAATATTTTCAATAAATTAGAGAGGTAATTTGGAACGCAGGAGACCGCCATCGTGAGCGGTTAGGCTGGAGATGGATGGCGGCCTCGTAAAAAGAATTGGCGACATAACTCTCTTCGAAAAACTGAGTGACCAAGAGGGTGCGGTGCAAGTGCAGGTGCAGTGAGCAGTTGCATGATAAAGAATAAATAAGTCACGGTTTTGTTATACTAATTTAGAGAGGGGGAGCGTATGATTGTATTATTTGTCGTTTAAGTGTAGCTTTTAAGGAGTAGATGGTTGAACAAGACTTTATGTTGTCGGGTAAATCATTCCAAATGTCCGGGCCAGAATGTCTAACAGATTTGTGTGTTATTGATAATTTGGGGTTTGTAAGATGGAAGTTTCCAGATATGCGAGTAGAGTATGAATGAACGGAATTATTAAACCTAAACATGTTATCAAAGGATGGTGGAAGCAGATTATTAATGTACTTAAACATAATAACTGCTACTTGAGTAGTGTTCAGATCGAAAATTTTTAGTGTTTTAAGTTTATAGAATAAAGGATCAGTGTGAGCTAAGAAATGCGAACCTGTACAAATACGTATGGCTTTCTTTTGCAGTTTGAAAATAGAATTGATTTTTGTCGAACCACAATTTGCCCATACACTATTACAATATGTTATATACGGGAGAACTAGCGAATTATATAGTAGGAATAAGGTTGCATGGGGTAGAAGAAACTTTAACTTGGAGATTATTCCAATACTTTTGGAAATGCACATTGTAACTTGGTGTAAATGATCATTCCAAGTCAAGGTTTCATCTATAAGAACACCCAAAAACTTGGAATTAGTTTTCTTCTCTAGTAGCATACCATCGATTTTAATATATATAGGTGTTTCTGTATTATGAGAATGATGTTTAAAATACATGAAATGAGTCTTTTTTGTATTAAGTGAAAGTTTATTGGATTTAAACCAATCTGATACTTTGTTAATTTCATAATTCAAAGTATTGTTTAACGAATTAAGGTCTTTATGGGAATAAAAGATATTTGTATCATCGGCAAATAAGATAAAAGAAAGAAGGGGGGATGTATTGATAATATCATTTACATAAAGAAGAAATAACAGTGGACCTAAGATGGAGCCTTGAGGAACACCGCATTGAATTAAAAGAGGATCAGAATCATAACTATTAAATGTAACATATTGTCTTCTGTTTGTTAAATAATCTTTAAACCATAAGAGTGGCTGACCCCGAATTCCGTAATGACTGAGTTTGGAGAGTAGAATAGCGTGATTGAGCGTATCAAATGCTTTACTCAAGTCACAGAATATACCTATAACATGCTCTTTGTTAGCTATGGCACTTGTAATTTTGTCATAAATTTGAATTAATGCTAAGTCAGTTGAGTAATTTTTTCTGAAGCCATATTGATTTGAATTGAGTATTTTGTGTTTAGTGATAAATTTGTGTAGCCTATTATGAACGATCTTTTCTAAGACTTTAGATATACTTGGGAGTAGGGAAATTGGACGATAGTTACTAATTTCGTGAGGATCATCTTTTTTGAGAATGGGGTTGACTTTAGCTAGTTTTAATAAATCAGGGAAAACACCTTGCGATAACGAGTGATTAAATATGTGAGTTAAAGGCTTTGCAAGTGGATACATTATTTCTTTTAGGAGAGACATACTTATTTTATCAAAACCGTGCGATTTTGAGTTGTTAAGAGATTGGGTAATGTTAATAATTTCGCTAGGATTTGTCGGATTTAAAAAGAGGGACTCTTGGTTTTGATTGGAAAGATAGTCTTTAAAGTGTGCGTGAGTTCTATTAATTTTGCTGGCGAGTTCTGGGCCGATATTCGTAAAAAATGAATTAAATGAATTTGCATGAAGACTAGGATCATGTATTTTAGTGCCATTTAATGTGATATTATCCGTGGGTGGGGGATTCGTTTTTTTTCCCATTACCTCTTTGATAATTTTCCAAGTTGCAGTTGTGTTTGAACTGGCCTTTTTTATTTTATTAGAAAAATGCAATCTACGGGATTTACGGATAAGTTTTGTTAATTTGTTTCGATAAATTTTATATGTGTTTAGGTTAGTGTCAGTTGGATTGTGTAAATGTAATTTGTAGAGGCGATTGCGTGTTTGTATTGATTTCAATAAACCTTTAGTTATCCAAGGATTCCTGGGTTTATTTCGCTTATTACTCATTTTGCCTAAAGGAATATTCTTTTCATAATAATATTGCAATTTGTTACTAAAATGTTTATATGCAGTATTGACATCATTTACACTATATACCTCAGTCCATCCCTCGAAAAATAAATCCTGTTTCAGCAATTCTATATTACGTTTGGATTCTTTGCGATATATAAGCTCATCAAATGATTTACGGCCAGATAGTTTGCATTCACAAGTTAAAAATATGGGTAGGTGATCCGACACTTCAGAACACAATATTCCACCGATGGTTTTGTTGTTATGTACGTTTGAAAAAATATTGTCAATCTGAGTTGATGAATGTGGATTTATTCTGGTGGGTTTATTAATAATCGAAAAAAAGCCGTATGAATGCATCAACTGCATACAATTGGTTGAGTTACTGTTATCAGATGAGGGTGAGAAGTTGATATTAAAGTCACCAAGGATAAAATTGTGTTTATTTTCATCCCCTATTTTATGAAGATAAAAATCCAGTTCGTCACAGAATAAATCACAATTAGAATCAGGGGGTCTATAAATCAAACCTATGATGACGTTTTTGGCATTTGAGTTATTAATTTCGATAAATAAAGATTCAGCTTGTGTTAGTTTAATATCTGAACGGATTTTGAAGTTTATGTTTTGTGTAATATAAAACGCAACACCGCCACCTCTTCTTCCTTTGCGGTCCGCCCTAATCAACTTATAATTAGGCAAATTGAACATATCTGGAGAATTCTGATGTAACCAAGTCTCACTTATTCCAATGACGGAAAATGCAAAATTATTTAAAGAGTGTAAAAGGTTTTCAACGTATTCGAAATTTTTGTTCAGACTTCTGGAGTTTATATGTAAAAGTGAAATATTGTCTGGTTTGTAAGAAAATGAATTTTTGAATTCTTGGGGTGTGTAGTATTTGCTCTCGTTTATATCGTCGACAAGAATATCGGGAGTGTGCGCGTGCGAATTCATTTAACGATACGTATTATGTAAAGTACCGAAAATTTGGAGGATGAACAACTGCATGTGTGATGCTGGTGCGTTTGTGTGTGTACGAAGTGCAAGTGTGCGGGTAACTTCAAAATATAACACAAATAAAAATACAATAAGACCCATCTTGGTCACAGTTACAATAATTGCTTAGGAGCAACAGAGCGGAGCCCGACCGCCCGAGTAAAGGGTGTATTTTTGACACGCAAAATAGAGGGGCTGGGAAGAAACAAAATGCTTGATAACAATAATGACAAATCGGAGTACGATTATTAAATGGCAAAGAGGGATTTGACATTCCCGCTCATCAAAACTAGTTCAGTCTATAACAATGGATTTTGTGATTGACACAGGAGTTTTGCAAAACAAAGAGATTTGTTGTGCGGAGGAGAAAAATGTATGCATGTTAAAGCAGACTCTGAGATGATGCTTAATAGCAATAACGTCATTTCGGAGTACAATAATATTAAATGGCAAAGAGGGTTTTGACATTCCCGCTCAAAAAACAAAAAAAAGTTCAGTCAATTACAATATAACATATAGACTCAAATTTTTGGAATGCTATACAGATAATAATTATTGATAAAGAGTGAGGACTTCGGTCTTGATAATACCAGTCGTCAAGATCAAAGGATAACGAATACTTGTCTCAAGCCCATTTGAGGGTAAAGAATACATTCCTGCATGATACAAAGTTCTACTGCATGTCCCCTGGAAGGAATACAATCATGACAATTTAGGATTAGTGACAACCGTACAATTCTTTCAAGATTCAAATGCTTTACCCATTTGGACAATCGAATTTTCCATCATGATAATTGTCACATACAAAAACCAAAAAAATAAAAATAAACAAATAAATTGAGTTTTGAGAAGAAAGTTAGGCTTGTCAAACAATGGACCCATCGCACCCATGCGTCGAGTATTTCTGAGATAGAGCACCACTGCGGACCAACATGAAGATTGGTCAGCCGTGGCGCGGAGAAGCCACGCCCAAACGTTAGACACATGTGAACGATAAGTCCATGTATTTGTTACATTTTAATAAGCCCATCATATACGAATCGCGTGACTGACACGGGTGTTTTGCAAATCAAAGAGATTCGTTGTGCAGATGAGAAATATTCATGCATGCTAAAGCAGACCATGACATAATGTTTGATAGCATGACAATTCGGAGTACAATTATTAAGTGGCAAAGAGGGTTTTGACATGAATTCCCGGTCATCAAAACAATTTCAGTCAACCACAATAAAACAGATGGATCCAAAACAGTTGAACGCTATACAA